AAATCATCTTGTCCGTGAGCTGCTTTACGCTGATGATGCCGCTCTCGTCGCCCACACAGAAGTAGCTCTGCAGGGTTTAACATCCTGCTTTGCAGAGGCTGCTGAGCTTTTTGGTCTGGAAGTCAGCTTGAAGAAGACAGAAGTTTTATATCAGCCTGCACCTCAGGAAGTCTTCCATCATCCCCATATCACCATTGGTGAAACAGCACTCAAATCAGTCCAACAGTTTAATTACCTGGGAAGCATCATCTCCTCAGACGGTAAGATTGATGCAGAAATAGACAACAGGTTAGCAAAGGCATACAGAGCTTTTGGTAAACTCCGTAAAAGAGTGTGGCAAAACAAACACCTGAAGAAAAGTACTAAGGTCAGCGTTTACAGAGCCATCGTGCTGTCTACTCTTCTATATGGTTCTGAATCATGGGTCATTTACCGGCACCACTTGCGTCTCTTAGAACGCTTCCATCAGCGCTGCCTCCGTACAATCCTCAACATCCACCGGACTGACTATGTGTCCAACACGTCTGTCCTTGAACAGGCAGCAGCCACGAGCATTGAGGCCATGCTGCTGAGAACTCAGCTGCGTTGGGCAGGGCACGTCTCCAGGATGCAGGACCATCGCCTCCCTAAGATCGTGCTTTATGGGGAACTTGCCACTGGCTGCCGCAAGAGAGGAGGCCTGAAGAGGAGATACAAGGACTGCCTGAAACAATCTCTCAGCCTTGGCAATATTGACCACAACCATTGTTCTACCCTGGCCTCCAATCGGGAGGTCTGGAGACACACCATCTATAACGCTGCTGCTGCTTTTGAGAACACACGCAGGATCACTCTCGAGGAGAAAAGACAACGCAGAAAGAATCGCGTCTTGTCGATATCACCTGGGGAGTCTTTCTGCTGTACGTTCTGCAACCGGACTTGTCCGTCTTGCATTGGCCTTTTTAGCCATCAGCGCGCTTGTAGCAAGCGTGGGTAGAGCCCCTCTCAAATCTTTGTTCGCGAAGCCTAGCCATGATGATGATGAATAAAGTGTCTAATTAGATGTCATACCTGTTTAAAAAGTCTTTTGATAAACAACAGCATTTGTTAAGATTAAAGATGAAGATTTAAAAAAACCCCAAAACCTCAACAATCATTGAAGAGGTAACAGACGACAAAGTTGTTTTTTGAAACAAGAATGACAGCTTTAACAGCTCTAAATACTCACTGGGAACTAGATGTTTCCATAAATTTGAATTTATTTTGCTTGGGCTAAGTGCTGGCAAACAAGTGTGGATTTTCCTTCCACCCGACCTGCCTGTTGGGTGAGTGTTACCTGCTGCTGGGCTGGCTGGACTGGCGGCTGGCTGCCGGGCAGGAGGGATAAGGTGTCTGGAATGACACCGGGATGCTGTCCTGACAGAGCTCGTGAACAGGTGCTCACGTTTATCTTCCTCATCACAGCGTGTTCCGCGAAACTGATACCTGCGGCGGCACCTTTGTTGTCCTGACTATAGAAGGACCGCACTATACAAGGACTGCACAGCTGTGTGATGTTTAATATGATAAAGCAGAACACACTTCACCTGTGCTGGCAGGGGAACTTGTCTGGGAGAGCTACGGGTGGAAGTGGTTGGAAACCAGAGCAGCAGGATGGCGCTCCATCCCCTCATCCCTCTGAGCCGGGGCTGCCTTTGCTGGGCGCTCGCCTAAGCCCGGCAGAGCTGCCCCGCGGGCTCTGTTGAGGGGAGCGCTCTGCACACCGCGACAGGCCGAGCCGAGGGGTTTGTCCCTGGATCGCGGGTGGCGGGGGAGGCAGCGCCGCGAGGGGCGGAGCGGGGCGGGGCTGGCGGGGCCCGCGGCCGGGCGGGTGCGCGGCGGTTGCCGGGGAGCGCGGGGGCAGCGGGAGCGGGAGCGGGGCCGGCCGGGTGCGAGCCCCACGCAGGTACCGAGCGGGGCCGGGGCCGTGCGGGGGGCCGGGGGCACGGCGGCCGAGGCGGGGAGGGCCGCGGGAAGTGCGAGGCAGCGGCCCCGGCCTGGGCCGGGCTCGGTGTCTGGGGCCGGAGCGAGGGAACAAAGCGCTGCCAGGCCTTGCCGGGCGCTGCTGGCTCTGGGTTTTCGCTCCGGTGGGGACGGGCAGTGTCAGATATGTAGGCGCTTTTATCTGTAATTTATCTTTGGGGTGGGTTTTTTCCATATAGATATTGGCGTCTCTTCATACAGACATATGTATACTCCATATCGGGACGGAGGCTCACGGGAGTAAGACACAAATGCCTGTCAGCCTCCTAATCATAAATGCTGTTCTTTCTTTAATACCAGCATTTTTTTTTGCCTTTCTTTTTTTAATTGTTTTTCAATTCGGCTGCAATTTTATTTATTGTTTTTTACATAGGATCTTGTCCGATTGTTGTGGAAGACATCAAAGGTTTAGTCTTCGATGGAAATTAAGATTATCTGTAGCAGGTGTAGTTCAGTAAATCCTCATTATCTTACGTACCTGTGATCACCATTTTTTGCTCATATGTGCAGATTCTGTTATGGGGAAAATAAGGAACAGCTTTCCAGCTTTTGTTAATGATAGGAAGAAGAGAAATAGATTCCGTTTTTTGGTGTAGAATTTGTTTCCCAGAGTGTAGTGACACAGAAATAGTTGTGATGTTGTTTTCTCTTCAAGGTCTTTGAGGTATATGGAGGAGTAACATTATTATTCTTTGCAGCTTAGTTAACATGAAGATGGAGGACTATGAAATATTCTGTAAGAAGCATCTTTCCAGAATCCAAGAAGAGGCAATAAAAGGAGAAACTTCTTTTACTGTTCAGCACAAAAATATCTCCCTCATTCATTTCTATGGAGTGCCTGTGCTCTCCCCTCTGGTAAGGCCTTTTTCCCCTCCTGCCCTTCCTGCCTGGTGTGCCAACTCTGCTATTGGCACTAGCTTTGATGTGCACTTGTAATGATTCTGATGAAGATATCTGGATGAGCTATCATCTGGCCTGCTGCTTAGTGTGTTCTAAGCATTCCTAACCTTCATCTTAAAAAGTAAATGGGTAAAATGTACTTTTTTTTTTTTCCCACATTGACTGCTTTGCCTGCAATTTCTGGAGATTTGTTATCTTCATAAGGGGAGCACAAATGTTTGTGGTTTTCAACAGTCAAATGTTATAGCGGGGCTTAACTTTACATAAAACCATAGTGACATTTCCCATACTGAACATGTGAGTTAGTTTAACAGTGTCAAAAAAAAAAAAGTGAAAACAGGAAATACTGAAAAATAGTTTAAAAGCTTTTAAGTAAATTTTTTTTGCATGTGTTTGCATCTTCCTGTAATGTATTTCACAGACTCATCAATTATATTAAGTCATTCTGTGCTAATGCAAACAGAGCCAAGCTGAAGACTGTTGGTAGTTCCTGCAGTGCTGCAGCTGACTTCTTGTTTGTATGATGGGAAGTATGAATGGAAAGAGACTCTAACAATGATGTCCAAAAGTCATGATAGAAATTGTAGACTGAAGGATAGATTGTCATATTCTTAATTTACAGATGGGTGGATATTGTAAGGTTTGGTAGAAAAAATGTCTGAATCCTGTGTTAGATTGGTAATTTAGCATGTAATGCTCATGGAAATTTTTTATAATGGACATTTTAAATTCATATTCATTTACATGTGTGCCAAGAAGGTATTTTGTGCATCTTCTCTTAAAAAAAGATATAATTGGTTGACAAGAAGCTGGAATTTAACAGGTGCACAAAGTCTCAGATGATTGTTATTCTTCTAATTGTTTTGTTCTCTTGATTTTTTTTCTAATTTACTTCTGTAATTCTGTATTGAAATTTGCATTTAATGATATAAATCAGTTTCTTACACTCTGTTTTGCAGCTTAGCCTTGAAAAGAAAAAGGAAATACAACAATATAAGGAGAAAGCACTGGACCTAGAGACCAGGAAACGGAACTCCCGGAACAGAGCTTTACTGAATCGTGTCCAGGAGATTGTAGAAAATGTCCAGGTAGTGTTTAGTCCAAAGCCACCTCATAGCTTTACAGAAAACCTCTGCTTAAGACGTTTTGAGAAAGTGCTGGGGTTTAACTCTTCTGAAATTAATGCCAGTTAACTTTCCACAATCAGCATTTGCTGGTATTTCATGCTACATGTCCTGATAATTGATTATTTAGTGATACTCACTGTAAGGGAGGGGACTTGCTTTTCAGTGCTTGTTTTGCTATATGCAAAAGACAGACCACAATGTTGCTTTTGTAGCTGTGTTGGAATCAACTAGATTGTAAACACAAATTAACAAACCCCTGGTGTTACAACTTGCTTTATTTGCAAGCTTACAGTATAATAGAAAATAATCTATATTCAACCTTGCGATTACAGAATTAAAATTACCTTCTCAATTTGTAATTCTGTTGTGTGCTTTACAATTATACTGAAATGGTTTTGTTTCCTTCGCTGCTTCAGCAGTGGATTTAGTAGAATTTTAAATTGAAAAGACTAATAAATATATCTAATCAAGGAGTTGTCCTAGAAACAGTTGTAATGCAACCAACTCGCTTAAGCAAGTACAGTTAACACTGAGTTTGTTGAGTTACCAAGGTGGCAAACAACACTGCTTTGCATTGTTTACTGGAGTGTATGTGGCAACAGTCATCTGGCTTGGGGTTTGACCTGTAGACCAGGAACATACATTCAATACAAAAATAAGTTGTGGACCATCATTCAAATTTATATTTTAATTCCAGTGACCTCTTTCTCATTGCAAAGAACTCTGTATTATGTAATTACTAGGAAATCAGTAACAGTTGAACTGAAAATTTTTATTGGTTGTAAGGTGTTACTTATTTTAATACTTTTTAAAATTAATTTTTATTTTTTAAATTGAGGTGAAGTTTGCAGGAATCTGAGATTTCATTGAAAATTTTTGTTTCGTTGGTTTTTTTCAATTTGCATTTGTAGATGAAGAAAGGACTTAATGTGAGTGATGTGAATGCACCGGAGGCTGAGAATTCTTGCCCCGATTCAGATTCAAAAGCTTTGAGTGACTTCACAGCTCCATCAGATGTCAGTTTGGCATGTTCTCCTGAAGGACATGGTCCCACAGAGCTGGAAAAGACACCAGAACTTGCACCATCAGGTACCGCAGGGCAGAGGACATCAAATGTAACAGAAGTAGTTAAAGCAACAGAAGATGTTTCTTCAAAGCAAAGTGAGCGTTGCTTCTTGAAAGACGTCTCTTGTCTGAGGGCAGCCTCCCCTGACAAGGTGTGTCACAAACTCATGTCACATGCTCTGCAAAAGCAAGAGGGACGAGCGGGGTCACCGTCGGATGAGGATGTCCAAGATCCATGTGTAATGAGCCTTCAGAACCTGATAAAGAAATCCAGGGAGTACATAGAGAGAGAGCAAACCAAGCGTACCTCAAAAGGCAGTTCAAAGAGGAGCGTGAGTGAAAGTCATTCAGATAAAGAAAATGACGCTGTTAAAACCACCGACTCTGCGAAAGAAAGAGCAAAACTTACAGGCAGAAGTTGCGCTGCTCAGACGCTTGATAAGCCCAGTCTTAATAAGTCAAATACCCTTCTCCAAGGTGCCTCTACAAACACAAATAACACAACTTTATCCAGTTTTTCTAAAGTGGACATACCTATGAGAGTTGGAACACCCCCTTTGGTGGATTCAGATTCAGATGAAGAATTTAAAAAGAATTCTATGTTTGAGCGTGACAGTAGCATTGTCAGGAGCCTCACAGGCTCCTATGCCAAATTGCCAAGCCCAGAGCCGAGCATGAGCCCTAAAATGCACCGACGGCGCCCAAGACCTTTATCAATGGGACACATCATTATAAATAACCCTGTGAATGCCTACGAGTTAAGTCCTAAAGGCAAGGGCAGAGCCATGGATTTAATCATGCAAGACATTGCAGATAAAAATAACGTGTCCGAATCAGTTCCAAAGTTCATGATGGACTTCAACATGGTTTGCCCTGGCAGAGTTCCTGGTGTCAACAGGAATTCTTCAGGCCCTGGTGATGGGTTGGGTGTTGGCAAACCGAATCGCCATTCCTTTGGGCTCTGGGAAAGCAAAGGAATGGTGTCGGCTACGGTGGAAGGGCAGGTGGTGCTGGACAGCAGAGGCCCATATAGAGTAGAGACCAGTACTAACATCATTGCTCCAAAACTGACTGAGCCGTTTGCCATCAGTCAGTCTGCAGTAACACAGAAGATCCCAGCTGGGAATGAAGTGAAAGCACCTGTTTTGCCAGAAAACACTAAATCAAACTCCACAGTGGAACTCAATAAATCTTACGACGTCGAAACCCCATCTCCGCTGCTAATGCAGAGCAAGAACGTGCGACAGCAGATGGATACTCCGAGTGTTTCCTCGGCAAATGAGCAGGTTCCAGAAAATTTTGAGAAGGTGAAACGCAGACTTGATTTGGACCCCAACAACTGCCAAACAGAAACCAGTTCCTGTATTCTGAGAGTTGGAATGGAAGAACAAGAGAAGCAGTGGTTGCAAGAACAGAAATATCCTGTGGAATCAGTTTACATTGCCCCTGAAAGTATGGCAAAAGGTAAATACTTCCTGCAGTTGAGGGTCACTTCTCAGTGCTGCTTACTTCTCAGTTTATAAATATTTTATAAAAAACACCAGTGGTTGTTAGTCGTTAGTGTTTCTAAGTATGTATTTATATAAAAAGGCTAATATTTCAGTGCATGTGCTTAGCCCACCAATATGGCCATGCAAATATTTTGAAGGACTGCAGTAAATTATGAGGTTCTTTACCTTACCTAACCGAAGGAAACCTGATGTCAAAGACATCTTTTTTATTTTTTACTGATGATGCAAATTACTTCCAATAAAGGATGTATGTCTCTGGCAAAGACCATATAGAAGTTATTTAATATTTGATTCTTTGTTATGCATTTTTTCAGAAGATATTTTAAAAACTAAAATGTTGGCCTTTGAAGAAATGAGAAAGAGACTTGAAGAACAGCATGCACAGCAACTGTCGATTCTGATAGCTGAACAAGAGAGAGAACAGGAGAAACTGCAGAAGGTAAGGCTGAAAGGAGAAATTCTAAGCAAAGGTTGTGTGTTGTGTGGAAGTTTGTCAGGAAGCAGTTGGGTTTAAATATGTGTTCTGTTGCTTTGCAGAGTTAGTCTCATGGTTGAATCTTCCTTTTGTAGGAACTGGAAGAGCAGGAGAGAAAGTTGAAAGGAAAGAAGGTTACTACAACGGAAATAGAGATTTCCAAAGTGAATATTAACAGTAGGATGGAGTTGGAGTGGAGAAAAAAAAGTGAAAATGGCTTGCTGGAAAGTGTGCAGTCTCAGCTGGAGACAGTCCATAACACAAACTCCACCAGCATTGGTAAAACTGGGAGGGAAGAATATAGATTAAGTGTTGTGATATCTTTTGTTCTACAATGTTTGGCTGGACTAGCTGTCCCACTGTACTGATCAGTGCAGTGTTCCTGCCCCAGGGCTGGTCAGGATACACAGACAGCTGCTGCCCTCAGGTGTGGACAGCACACGTGGAACAAAGTCTGTGCTGTGTCTTTGTGTCACTGGCATTTAGCACAGATTCAGCCATCCTCAAACTGTTCCAGGTACTGTACTTGTTATGTAACTGTTACAGGGTACATTCAAGGAAAACAAGCCAAGAATAAACTCTTTTGATCAAGGATGAGGATGTGGATTTGCGTCATGTCCCAGAAGGTTCATCCTCGTGCTGTGTAGCTGCACAGCAGTGGGCAGGGTGGTTGCATTTGTGTAGATGGTTTAGAAGGGCTCTGTCACGGGATCTTGAGTGCAAGACAGTGCAGCTATAGCTGATGGAACACCTCTCACCTATTCCAGAACGTTATGTAGTGTTTTGTTCTGTCTTCTATTTAGCAAATCTTGCACAGATATGAATCAGAAATATTCAGGTTGCTTCTTGGCTATAATTTACCTTGTCAACAAAGCTGCTACCCCCAAGCCGAGTGCATACACAGACGTAGTCATTACTTTATTGGCAGAAGTGTGTGCTGAACTCTGTGCTCTGCTTTGCATGCAGGTTTTGCTCAAACAACACCCAACACCTTTTCTTCGACAAGTGAAACTTCCTTCTTTCTCTGGGGACCATCAGGTAGTGGAGTCATAAAAACCTCAGTATCCAGACCAACTAATAGAATCAAAACTAGGTGGTCTCAGGTAAGAAAAAAAAAAGATTTATTTATATCTTAAAAAAACCTCCATGTTTTTGTAAGAGGCTGGTAACTATAATAACTGTGCAGTAATAAATCTCACAGAAAATCCTTTTCTATGTCAACTATAGGATATTTTTCTCATTCATATATTCAAAATAATCATATAAAAATATATTGCTTCTTCTGAATTACAGTGGGTCCTTTTGTCCTAGCCAAAACTTTATTAACAGCTTGTTTCTTACTTGAGAACTTCTCTCATGTGATTGATGTTATTTGAGAAATAATTCATAATTCTTCCTTTTTTAGTCAAAAGTTTAAGAAGTATTTTTTTGTTTTGGTTTTTTTTTTTTTTAAGGTTTTCAGTCCAGAGATACAAATGAAGTTTGATAAGATCACTGCTGTGGCAAAGGGATTTCTCACTCGTAGACTTCTCCAGACAGAAAAGCTGAAACATCTTAAGCAAACTGTGAAAGTAAGATCAGCTTTTTTGTGTTATGCAGTTTCTCCTCCTGTTTGTTTTTGTTCCTGCCTTCAATTGACAGATGAAATCAGGCATTTTCTGCTTTCAGGAGAATTGGGGGATGTCTGTTACATGAGCATGTTTGAGTGTTGCATTGCCTAGGTCCAGGTCAAACAAAGAATTTATGTCCTACATGTACTGTTTGTAATAACTGCTTTGTTGTGAAGGATTGTGCTTGGTGCTTTATCTCGTTTTCTCATCTTTCCCAGGATACTGTGGAGTTCATAAAAAATTTTCAGTCTGAAGCCCCACTGAAAAGGGGAAGTGTGTCAGCACAAGATGCATCCCTTCATGAAAGAGTAATGGCTCAGGTGACACAACTTAAACCTTTTTTTTTCCTTTCCTAGCTATTCTGCTTTTGTAATATAAACACCTAAAACCTCGATAGTGATTTTGTTTAGAGTAAAAAATTTAAACTACGGCTGTGAAGAGTAGACTCCATTTTTGTGCTGACTCAATGAGAGATTTCAAAATTACGCAGAGTTTTGCTTAGTTTGAGAAGAGCTGGATGGTCAAAACCATGGGCGTGTTACCTCAACCAAATATTTTACTACAATTTTAATTGTTCTTTCCAGCTGCGAGCTGCTCTCTATGACATCCATGACATCTTTTTTACAATGGGTGCATCAGAAAGGATGAATATTCTGCGTCACGATCGTGAAGTTCGGAAAGAGAAGATGCTCAGGCAGATGGTGTGTTGTGTTCCAGAGAAAGTAAAACTATCTTAAGACTTTGAGTCTGAATCATTTTACACTTAAAAGATTCTTATTTGCACCCTAAAATGTTTCTTAAATCTAAATTTTAAATGCTTTTGCAAGTAACTTTCTCCAAATTTTTTTTTTTTTTTTTTTTTTTTTTTTTTTTTTTTTTTTTTTTTTAGGATAAAATAAAGAGCCCGAGAGAGCGAGTGACACTTTCAACAGCTACACAGAAATCTCTGGACAGGAAGAAGTACATGAAGTATGTGCTGTTCTCCCCTTGGGACTTGAGGAGGGAGGCAGGGTGCAAAATGATGAGTAGGAGGCATAGGAAATTGTGACAGGAAGTTTTTGGAGTAACAGCTTCTTTGCAAGCTAACATCTCTCCTAGGAAGAATGAATAAAAAGCTGTCCAGGTGTTTGGAGTCTTGCTAGTAGTATTTTGCTCTTAATTTTAAGAGACTTCTTGTTTGTACAGGAGAAAAATGTTTGTTCACGTTGAGCATTTGTGCTAGATTCCAGTGGTGGGTGCTTAGTTCATGGTTGAATTTGTAAATTGTAAAGTGGGCTCTAGATGATTTTATCCATTTGAAGTGCCTGGCAATAGAGCTACTTGATAGAGTATCTTTAGCAAAGTTTTTTGGGGAATGGTAGCAGGCATTATCCTTCAACACAGTGAAGAGTTGTGTTACACTTGCTCCTGAGTAAAGAAGTGATAATCTGTAGTACTGCTCTGGCACATGTAGGTGTAGTTCCTGTTGTAGGCTTTCTCTAGAGTGTTTCTGTTCAAGACCTGGATGATGAATTTATAATTGAAATGTGTTTCAATACTTTTGTTTCTCTAGGGCTTCAGAAATGGGAATACCAAGTAAAAAAATAATCATAAAACAAAAAACTCCTGAAAGCCGGTGGGTGATGGTTACTGGTATTTGGATGCTTTCAAGAAACTGTGATTTTGTGATCTGTATTTCTGGCTTGCCATCAATCAGCTCAATTCCTGGTATTATTATGATGGAAAGTAATGAAATCTGGTTAAGCATGACCTAAGAAAGGGGTTTATTAGCTCGTTAGAAAAGATTTGTTTTCTTCAGAGTCAGTTCTAAAATTTTATCTTCAGAAATTATTTATTTATGGCTTTAAGTCTCTGTGGTAAGGTTCAAGGTTTTTCTCTGAGATACACTGTTAAGCTTCAGTTTGGCACTACTACTTTTCCTGATACCCTTTACTTTGCAATGAATCATTGATAATGCTTATCCTTAGGAAGCTGTCAGGAAAGAAGTGGCTCTCTGTTGTGAGGAAAGTGCTTGCTCCTTGATTGTATGATTGTTTGCTTAGATCACAGAAATTACAGTGTTCAGTGCATGCTGTTCAGAAAGACAGCAGCTGCTCTCTTATGAGGCCTATCTGCACCTTTTTCTAGTATAAAAAGTCAGATACCTGGCATCCCTTAAAAACAATTTTTATCCCGTGTTTACCCAAAAACTTTGAAGACATGCTGTCTACTCATGCAGTTCAGTCTTCAGTGACTAGTGTGACTCAGTCCTTTTTTCCTGGATGTCTTTAGCAGTGACTGGGAACCCAGGGCACTGTTCAGGGGGTTCTATCTGTGTGGGTTTTTTGTTTCTTTGTTTTAAGTAGTGGAAGTAGTAATCCTGTTCTGGGATTTTAATTCCAGCCACTTTGCCTACAAGTCATGTGCATTACCAAAGCTGTTAGCCTTGCTGAAATTTGCTGTGTGAAACATGATGCATAATTCAGTAATCCTTATGAGGCTTTTATTTTTAAAGGGAAAAAGCACTAATAAAGGTTTGTGTTTTAACAGCATACTTCAACCAAACCAAGGACAGAATGCCCCAGTTCATAGACTGCTTTGCAGACAAGGGTAAGAGCACAGCGTGTTTATAGCCTAAAGATGAAAGTAAATGCAAAGCACAAGAGTACAGTGAGCTCAGTAAGATTTACACATACTCGTGTAACTGTTGTTCAAAGTAAAAATAATTACTTCTTCCAGTATTTTGAGACGGTGATGAAGATTTATTAGACTTTATACTGCAAGAAAATACTTAGTGTTGTCACCCTCTTCTGTATGTCTTCATTTACACTGTGTTCCAACATTTCTATTTGTAACATTCATTCCATGAAGCTTTGCTTCCACTTAATGAAATGTGTGTATTTTTATATGTATACTGTAATGTCACAGTGTCTGAACAGAATCAGTTTCTTGAATAGAGTTTTTTTAAAATCCATTCATGGGGATATGTTCTCCTGCTTAATGTATCTGTGTAAGACATAATAATGTTGATAGAAACTGCACACGTACTCAGGAGGAGGCTCTGTGGGGCATTAGCATGAAAACATTTTTACAAACAGTTTGATAGTGTCTCATGTTTTTCTATACAGCCTTTCAACTTTGTTGCAAGTGACTTATTAACTCTTTTATATTTAATTAGCACCCTTAAGACCTCAGTGAATGGGGTTGAGCATAATAGAAAGAAGGCCTCAGAGAGCAGAGTGTCTAACAAGGCTGTTTCAGGTGTGTAGAAAATTGGTGCTTGGATCTTATAGTAAATAAGTTACTAGTATCTAGACAAAGTAAATGGGCAATATATTGTTTTCCTTTCCTTGCGCATCTGCTTTGCTATGTCTTAAATCTAACCTATCTCTTCAACAAACATGGACTGGTGACTTAACCATCCACTTTCAGATTCTATAAACATAGTATATAGAATGTGCTGCACAGCTCATTTGCTTTCACTCACCAGATGCCCAGTCATAAAAGAGATCGCCAGACACGTTCACTGTAACTGTTGAGAAACTGATTGTAGTCAAAGTAGACTTGGGTTAGAATCTCATGTCATTTAAGTCTTAGTTCTGTACACATGTCTGTTGAAAGGACAGGAAGGACAGTTCCAGACTCATCACTGGGTGTTCAGTCATCATACAGTCCTAAAAGTATATATATTACTGTAGCATCTTACAGCATGTGTGAGTCTTAGTGACCCAAGGTTAAAAGTGGAATATTCCCATGCTTGCAGATGGAGACAATTGATTGGTTGCCTTTAAATAAAAAGATTTTATAACAGTGCTGAACCTCTCTATTTTCAGCCTGTTCAGGCATGAAGGGAATAAAACACTATGAAACATCTTACACAGTTTCTATTTTTTAATCAGATTTTAAATTTCTTAAGTGACAAGCCTCAACTGATCAAAAGGTAAAGTTTTAAAACTGTTTAAGAGCTGGATTACACTTTTTTTCTCAAAGGAGAGTATAAATATACTCTATATAATATAGAGAGTTTTATACTCTCCACAAGGCAAGTATAAAAATTGGGAATTTGGGGGCTCAATGAGGCAAATGTGTGATGTGGTAGGATTCTGACTGTTTTCTGTAGTGATTTGAGTTATCTTTATGTATTAAGTATCAAAGCTTTCTTATAAGGGAAATCCTTATTCATTCCTGCTCCAGAGAATGCAAGTTTTAGTGCAGTGTGTTTTACACTGTTTAAATGTGATGTTTCCCCAGATATTACTTCGTGAAGTCAAGAGAAGTGGCTACAGAAGGATGTATAGTAAGGCAGTATGCATGTATATATGTGACATTTTAGAGAGAAGGGAAGATAAAATAGCAAAAAATGAGATGACAACCAGGGTTTATTTTATGTTTCTGCTGTCAATTCCCCTGGCAGTGCTGTCACCATTAAAGTGGAGCAAGGCAGTTGTTCAGCTGTGTTCAGTGACACTGCAGAAAAATTATCAAAAATAATAAATAGTCTCCCTGAAATATAAAGAAGAAAGTAAAGTTAGCAGTATAATTTTGGCAACCAGAGGTAGCCATTAAGGCAAGTTTTCATCTGCAAATTTGCAATAATGTCTGCTATTAACTAGTAGTTGAGAGTGCTGGAGAACAGGGACTACACATTACTATTCATTTAGTACAAGTAATCTAACCTATTTCTAAAGGAATGGGTAAAATGTGAATAGTGAAAGGTCTGGCAGTATGACTAACAAATTGTACTTATTAGAGGGACAAAAAGGAAAGGAGGATTAGTCGAATACAGCTACCATAAATGTATTCAACTTAGATATGAGACAAACGCTCTGAAGAATATAATAATATACTCATCCAACTTTTTTTCTTCTTTCTCCTGATTGTTGTTTTAAATTCTGTCTGCAAAGTGCTTTGTAGCTTTAATACCACTGTGACTGGTTGTTGTCTTTTTCTGGGAAGAAGGCATTTTGTTTAGGAATCAACTGGGAATCCTAAATTCAGTTTTTTCTTGTTTTTTACTCCTTCAGTCCAAAGTTCTGAGCTAAAGACAGAAGTACCAACTTGTGAATCAGTAAAGAGTCTTATTTGCTTTATTTATTTATTTATTTATTTATTTATTTATTAAATTTAATTAGTTTAGATAGGACCAAGGCGTTCAGTCAATTGCCTGCAAGCTGGGCCAGGCAGCACATTTAATGGGGCCTGATTTTGTTAGAAAGAAGGTGGTTGAGATCAGGTTGCTCCTACAACTAGACCTACTCATCTCCTCTGTTTCTACCTAATTTCTTCTTCTGTGGAAAAGAAATACAGGGCATGAGGCACATGGAGTGTTTGGGTGGTGGCAGCACTTGGCCCAGTGTGGTCTCTCCTGCACGCCTGTGTGGCTGAGCAGGGCAGTGTGAGGAGGTGTGTGCTGAGAAGTGTGTCAGTGTTCACACCAGGAAGCCTCAGACCTGGTGTGTGAATAGCAGGTCTGTCCTTTGTCCCAGGAGAGAGGCCTAAATGTGCTTGCCACTGGAAAAGGTTGGGTGATAATTGTATTCCAAAAGACTGTCACTCTTTTTAATCAAATTTGCCTTCTGCAGTTCCTTAGTCTGGATTGCTGGGGGTTTTTTGCACTTCCATAAACTAATGTATAATATCCTATTATTTGTGTGAGGTTTTTATGTATCTCGGAGGGCACTTGAAGAGAGTTAAAGGGTAGTGTTAAATCACTAATAAAGCACCATGCCTGTCAGCCTGGTTGTCCTACAAGATCACAGGTGAGCTGAAGAGTCCAGCACTGGAGAGTACTGGGCCAGCGAGAATGCCTTTTGTGTAGTGGGAACCTATTGAGGTGTGAGGGATCCTGCTGTGGTGAGATTTCTGGGTGTTTCCAAAGCTTCTTTGCCCTGTGCTGAATGTAGCCCTTGGATACCTGTAAGTAACCACTGCAGCTCTGACCAAGAGTAACTGAAGAGCCTGAAAAGGACTGGCACTTCTTTGTCACATTCATTTACTTGCCTGGTAGTCATTTCTCTTCCATGGCTGTCTTCCATTCCCACCGCTCTGCACCCTGTGGTACGATTTCCACTGCTTTGTGTAAATGTTTGCTCACACTGCTGCACACTCTGGGTAACTGCTTGAACCTAATGAATGCTGAGTTGTGCTACTTTTTAGCGGCTTGCAGTGCTGAACCCTTATTACTGGAAGATACTTGTGCTATGTGTAGTACAATATGGATTTTTAATATATGTATGTATATACTTGTTCCCCGTGTAAAGACTTATTTATTATTTTTGTACTTGAGCAGCCTTCCTTTTATGAGGGCTGTGCCTGATGTCCTTATTCATACTGCATTTCTAATTCTGGTTGTCTGTATTGACTTATGGAAACCTACAACTGTCTCTTGGTTTAATTGATGTGGCAGCTGGAGAAAAGGAAAGTTATCTTAAGTATTTGATTTGTATAATATTTTTTAATTGATTGTTTAAAAGTAGTGCTTGGTATAGTTAAACCTATCAGTCAATTATTGTCTTGGTGATGTGACAGTTCTTTTAAAAACATATGAATTGTAGTTGTAGATGTTTTACAGTAGCAGAAAACACTTTGGAATGCTTATTGCAGGAGGCAGTGCTATAAAATGTCAGAACTTTCAAAACTATATGTGATTTTTTCTAAGGTATTCTGAGTGTAACATTATGAAAATTGTCATTTTAAAAGTAATCACTGAATACATAATACTGCTTTAAAAAAATTGTCCTAAACTTTTTGAGCTATTTTATTTTGATAATCCTGTTGTGAAATCCAGTACTATTAATTGTAAAATTGTAACGTTTCTACTTATTTTTAGGAGCATATGCAGGAAGAACCCAAAGAAAGAAGCCAAATGTTGTGACAATTTAAGAAGACAGCACTCACTAGGATAAACTGACTGTTTTTTACTGAAGGCATTCTCAGCACTGATTTTAAATATTGCATCTTCTTTACGTATATGTATATTTAGAAATTACAAACCTGCTTTGTCATTTTCAGATGACACATTAATACAATGATATTGAAGTAATAAAGGACTTTGAAGTTCTAATACTTGTGGAAAAATTGCATGTTAGAACTTATTGTATGTTAATACTAGTGCGTACACATTCATAGTCTTGTTTATTTAAAGACCACCACAGGGCAGCATGAAGGTAGTTTGTGACTTTTTCACACTTTCTAATTCTTGTGTCTGCTATATGCTTTTTGATTACATAAACTGCAATTTCTGTGTATGATTGCCACCACTAGTCAGTCATGGGTATATATTCAGTTTCATACCATAAAGTTAAAGCAGTTAAATGGGAAAAAAACCTCCAAACCTATAAGTGAATTTGTCACCAGCCGTTTTGAATGTACTTTCTGTATGAATGAGATTAACCTCAATTTCAGTACTAATGACCTAAAATGTTTTGCATTTCTGCTAAACTGGACAGACATGGATCCAGATTCACTGCTGGGCAGACGGACCTACTTTCATTGACTAAACCAAAACTGTGCATTTTTATCTGTGATAAATCACCACCACCACGAGTCCTGAGACTTTTTTACCCTGATGTCTACTGCATTTTCTTATGGAAGCAGCATTTGGCCACGATGGAGACGTGTATGTTCTACAAAAGCTCAAGAAGGCAAGATTTCAATTGTTTTACTGTCTCAGACTTAAATAGTAATTTCAGTCCATAATAGTAATTTGGATATGTTACATTTCATTGATGACAGTTACAAGTTTTCCTAAGGAGTTTCTCTTCTACCATGATCAAACAGGCCCTTGTACTGAATTCATGATTTTGGGGGAGGGGGAATCCCTATCAAATCCCTACAAAGACTTTCGTATTTATGAATATCTAACGTTAAATGATCATGCTCATGTTTTACTTCAGTCTTCCAACTGATGGATATTATCCATCAACTTGAGGGGAGCATAATTCTATACCTGCTTTTAATGAACTTGAGACACGTTAACAAAGTCCTAGAGAGAAAAGATCTGCTTTTGTAATATCAGTAGAGAACTGACTGCCTGAATGTGAAATAGGTTATATTTTGTTATTTCCCAGTGTGGATAGAATTCAACATACTAACTTAGGAGGCTTTGTAACATGTTGACACGGATATAAGAGAAAAAAGATGGAAAATTTCTGTTGTGTTAAATAGTCAGCATGAAAGAGGAACATTAATGGTGGGATGAGGACAGCACCTTCATAGCAGTGATGAGCGATTGTCTTGCTTGTGGCACCAGTTATAGCTTTTATCTGCCCCCAAGTCCGTCCTCTGCAGGTAGTAATGTTGTTCAAAACAGGTGTGTTATACTGTGCAGTAAATTACCCAAACTGTGTACTTGGAAAATGGCAAAAATGCTGCCCAAGCACTTTGAAGAATGACACTGCTCAGTAGCTCTCTACTGTGGCATTAATTTGGAAGCCTAACAGCTTTGAAAACCTAACAGTGTAAATTGTAAGAGTTTTCACCAGTGTAGGACCAGCCTCCTTCATACAAATGCTGTGGTGCCTAAAAATCTCAGTTGTAATACAGAAAATGCCCAGAGCAAGCTTCCTGCTCACCCAGTGGGCATCGCAGCTCTGTTTTGGCTCTCAGCTTTCCTTAGGAGTGAAATACATCGCAACAGGGTTAAAATTAGCAATGACAAGAGTAACCTGTGTCAGAGGAGACAAAAGGTGCTATTGATATAGGATTGATGTTCTTAAAGAATGTTCTATGTGATGTATTTATTATTAGCATAGGTACTATGTTGATGCACAAATAGGTTTAGTGTGTTAGTAGAAATGAATGTTTCTGCTTGGGTTTCACATCTAAACTTCATCTTTAAGCATGCTTCCACTGTGTAATAAAACACTATAGCACAAGGTTGGTGTTTTTTTTAACTTTCATGAGGCCTTTCTCTTGGCAAGTGCCAGACTTTGTTTTTGTACTTGATGTTTTGTATTTATACATATTTATCTTTTTATTTTGTGTGAAATTGTGATACCATTACAAAAGTCTATTTATTTTTATACTTTTATTTCGTTTTTTTTTTTTTTTCTCACCAGTCTTGCTTTTTACTTAAAGCATTCTGCACAATAAACTTTGAATCTTTAACGAGCACTGCCTTTCTGTTCCTTTTCCCGCCGCTCCCCGCCCTCCCTCAGGCTCTCCCCGCTCTGAGGGGCGGGGCGGGAAATGGCGGTGAAGGCGCCGCCCGCCCGCGGGGTCATGTGACGGGGTGCAAGATGGCCGCGTTCCCGTGGTGAGGCGCTGGGCGGGGGGCACTGGGCGCTGCCTGTCCCCCGCCCGCGCAGGGCAGGGCGGCGGCGGGCGCTGAGGGGCTGCGGGTCCCCGCGGAAGGGCGAGGGCAGCCGTCATGCCCCGCGAGCCTCACAACCGCGGGGGTGAGGCGGGGCGGCCCCCCGTGTGCCAGCGGGGGAAGCTCCCTGTCGAGGTCTCCGTCCGCGGGGCTCGGGGCCGCTTGGTCTGAGGCGGCGGCAGCCGGAGCACTGGGTGTCGTGGGGCCGCAGCCCGGCGCTTCTCTCCGTGGCTCTGGGAGAAGCCGGAGGGGGTCAGGTTCATGTATAATGTAACACAGTGATGTTACTTTAGGTTACCTGGTGCTGCTCTGCTGAGGGGCGGGGGCGCAGCTGGGAGGGCACGCCCGCTGACCCCTGCCCGCCGCTGTGGACTTATTTTAACCTGAAGTAAGCGAGGCAGTTCCCCGAGGGCCGCTGTGGTTGCCCGGTGTGCTGTCACGGAGCGTGTCCTGCTCGGAGCGAGGAGCCGGTGAGGGGAAGGAGCGCTCTGCCCGCCCGCTCCGGGCGGGGTCACTGCGGGCTCGCCGCTCCCGCTGCCCGCTGGGGAGGTGAACATCGCCTGCAGGGAATTCAGCTTTACTAGCACAATTTAGTCTCTGTTAGTTACCTTTGCAGGCTCTCTAGATGTACACACGGGTTACAGACTGAAGTGGCAGAGTCAGCTTCTAGCAGCGTGCAGTATTACTGCAGGAAAAGGTGGGGTACAACTGAGGAAGCTGCACTGAAAAGAATAACTTGCAGTCTGGTAATTGTTATGGAAAGGAAGAATGAAACAGGCACTCTGACAGACAAAATAAAAATATGTAAATAGTTAATTTTTCTTCAAACTCTTTCTTGGTTACAAACAAACTGATTTTCTCTTTGTGGAAGACTCACTCTCCTGAGTCTATTGTGCTTTTAACACATGGAATACATCTAACTTCTAGGTTTTGGAGTGGCTGATGGGTTGTAGTCCTGAGCAGACTAGAAACCGACCTTAATGTGGAGTCAAGAAAAGTAATATGCAACATTTAGAGCATGAGGATGCCAAAAGATTTTTTCCGTATGTACATTGTCATGCTGAACATCATCTGGCTCACTCTTTCATGTTATTGTGTGAGCAAACTTTCACGTTTAACAAAATGTAGAAATAATTGGTGGATTTAAAAATTGTTATTAAACCAACTGAGGTTATTTAAAAACATCAGAGAATGCTTTTAAAAATAAAATTCACTGGGATATGAAGTACTTTAAAACTTGAATTTGTGTAGCTAAGATTTGAGGGCGTGAGACAGCAGTAACACGTTAATTGGCTGTTGCAACTGTTGTTACTTCGAGTGCCCTAATGTCGGTGGAATCAGTGTGTGGTCAGTGATCTTGCAGAAACAGAAAGGAATAACGTGGTGCAACTCTGGGATTTCTGGCAGTAGCAAAATAGAGCAGAACAAAGTAGAGCAGTAGGGATGCTGACAAATTGATTTTTACGTAGTACAGCAATGAGGTAAGGGGCTAGTAAGTAGGTCTGGTAACACTGATGCAGAAGTGGCCATGAAGAAATAATTAACCACACTGTTTCCATCATGTTGTTCTGTCACATGGAAGATGCTGCTGTGCTACAGGGTTTAGCTATTTTTTAGCTATTTTTCTCTTTTTAAGGCATGCAAGATCAAGAAACTATGCCTCAGAATCTGAAGTGTGCAAGCTGGAATCTGTACCCTTGGATTTTGGTGATTACCACCCGCTGAAACCCATTACAGTGAGTTTTTTTGTGCTTTTGGAAAATGAATGTGAATTAAAACTGATTGTGTTCCTTGTTTTACTTTTGTTCCTTTAAAATTAAAAGGCTTTGAAGTCAGTGGTGATACTTGTGAAGTTCCTTTCTATGTTCGTGGCCTGTTATTTTAAAGGCATCAAGGTTTATTCTGTTTGTCCTTTACAGAAATTTGCTGGTGCTCTTATGTGTCAAAACCAGTCTCCTTCTGACAAATATAGCACTCCAGCCTGTGGGTTTTCTTGGTTGCATTAAATGCTGAATAATGGATAAATTTCAAATCAAATTATTGCATCACAAATAACCTGCATAATTGCTTGATGTAAGAAATGGTTTTTGGGTTAACTTCCAGTCAGCTGTGTGCTTTAAAACATTTATCATTTCTTTAATGTATAAGAGGCTTTTAAAGATGTGGATGTGCTTCAAAGAGATGATAGTCATCAGCTAATGAATGATAAATGGGCAGCAGCTTCTGCTCAGGAAGGTCAGGAGGGAGATAAGACAGTGGCCTTAAGAATGGATTTGATGTGCCAGGCTTGAGTGTCCCACAGGAAAATTCAAGATGAAACTGGTGGAGGTGATCAAATAGCAAGAAAGAGGTTGGAGGAGAGGGATAAACCTAATACAGTAGAGGAGAGGTACTAGAAAGAAATTTAGAATGGTTGTTATAGGTTTGTAGACCAAGGATTGGAAGGAAAAAAAGGTAATGGAAATGCTATTGAAGAGCAAGTGCCTCCAGATTCAGGGGAAGAGGAGGTGCTGCAGTTTAAATGTTGGTGCTCACTCCAAAGAGTTTATTTGATTTGTCCTTGCTTCTGTTGCAGCAGCACAATTTATGTAGCACATATTTTTGTGGTTTATTAAAGAGAGGAAAGACAAAGCCTTTTTGTTTAATAGTTTTGAACTTTTCTTTTAGGTTACTGAATCCAAGACCAAGAAAATGAACCGGAAAGGAAGTACTTCTTCTACCTCCTCTTCTTCTTCTAGTTCTATGCTGGATCCATTGAGCAGCGTGTTGGATGGCACCGACCCCTTGTCATTATTTGCAGCAGCTGCAGATCCTGTGACTACCCCTGCTACCATGGTAACACTAGAGGCAGTTATTTCAACTAAATAAAATTAAAAAATACCCATAAAACAAACCCAAACAAAATCACAATGCCAACCATGAATAAAATATATTTGTCTCACCAGGTTAATGCAAATAAGAAATATACCGTATTAATATTTACCTATTTTTATCCGGTTTATGTTGACATACTTACTTACATATGGATTTATTTTTTTTTTAATATTGTAAATAAGCTTATTTAATATTGTAATAAGCTTACACTTGAAACGTGAAGTTGACTTTTATCAGCCTTCTCTTTTTCCAGATTTGTATTGAACATTTGCAGTAACTTGTTCTCCCCTAATAGGATGGCACACGAAGGAAACGGGATAAAGATGACAACTCAGCAGTAGGAAGTGACTTTGAACCGTGGTCAAGCAAACGGGGTGAAATCCTTGCTAGATACACAACGACAGAGAAGCTGTCTATTGTAAGTGGCAGTTTCTCCAGTTTTATTTATGTCTACTAGACCTTTACTGGACTTTGGATATTCCTATTTTGTAATTATTACATGAGTAAATTCTGGTCCTCTAAGTTTCAGTTTTAAGGCTGTAGAAAGCTGTACCACGAGCTCTCACTTGTAAAGGTTGTTTTGGAGCTGAGTCCAAAAGTCCTTTGATATATAGAAGCCATCACTTTGTCTTTTTGTAACAATACAAATAACTTCTGGTCTTATGCCTACTTCTAAATGATTAGAGGCTTAATTAGCAGTGTAATTACCCTATGCATTCTGGAAATGCTAGCAAGGTCTGCTGAATAGTCTGCTTTTTCTATTTCCCCACAGAATCTGTACATGGGATCTGAAAAAGGTAAGCACTTTCTTTTACCATAACAGAGTTTGCTTGAGGTAGGGTGCAGTGACAGGTTTGTGGTCAAGAACAGTTGAAATGGGTTTTCCTGCTTCCCCCATTCTGACATTTGGTTGTGTCTATGCTCTTTTGTGGATAAGACTGCTGGATTTTTAGTTAAAATAATTGTTGAAAACAAGCCACCCAACCACCTTGTATTTTATTCCTCTTGGCTAATGAATTTGTGGTTATTTGACTGCCTTCCACTGTAGCTTAAAACTCCCTTCCATTTAAAGTGAGCCATCATGTTCTGAGTATCGTGTTTATCAACTCTTCTGCTAGCCAGGAGGAAAGCAAACAAGTCCTTTGGGAACTTGTTCAGTTATTCTCTGTACATGAAAGTGAAATGATTTCAACTGCGTGCTGGGTGTTCAAAAAAGAACCAAATGTTAAATATTTTATCACGTTTTCTAGCGAAGCAAATCTGGCCTAAATAGTCCTTGCTGATTGCATAGTAGATCAGGATTTTTATGTATGAGTAAACATGCAGCATTTCAGCTGCTGCAAAAATATAAAATACTTTCTTGCAATGAGAATGGTCAAACACTGAAACTGGATGCTCAGGGAGAGTGTGACATCTTCATTCTTAGATACTGTTAAATTAACTGGGTACAACCCTGTGCAACCTGTCATAGCTTCACAACTGGCCCTGCCTGGAGGAGGAGAGTTGGACACAAACCTACGTAGGGCTTTTGTAACCTAAATTGTCCTGTGGTTCTATCTGGTGATTCTTTTCTTACCAGTAAAACTTACAAGAAAAATCCATTTATATTCAGTTTTACTTGTCATTCCCCATTCAAAATGAATTCACTGTAGGTTTGTTTGAATGTGTATCTTCAGGAATTCTCACAAAGTGAATCAAACCACTTGTCTTCTGTCTCAGAAGCTGATTAGTTGTCCGAGTCTGTCAAGATCCTTCAAGTTTGTTTCTCTAAAGAAGTCCCAGTGTTTAAATGTTAAAGAGACTTAAATATGTAATTCTTTACAGGAAAAGCTACAACTACTGGTTCAGCAGTCTCTGAAAAAGTGAGGACAAGGTTAGAAGAACTGGATGATCTTGAAGAGGTGAGAAAGTTTTCTGATCAAATT